TTCCACCAATCCTGATGCCACATTCCTCCCTGTACAGCCCAGTGTCTCGGATGATCTGTTCTGCATACACATTGAAAAGGTATAGAGACAGAATACATCCCTGATGGACCCCCTTCTTGATTTTGAACCATGTAGTGTCTCCTTGCTGTGTTCCGACGACTGCCTCTTGGTCCAAGTATAGGTTTTGCATTAGGACAATCAAATTCCCATTCTTCTCAGAGTCAGCCACAGCTTGTTGTGATCCACACAGTCAAAAGCTTTTGCATAGTCAATGAAACACAGATAGTATTCTTCGCTTTCTGCCAAGATCTATATAACATTAGCTATAATATCCCTAGTACCACAACCTCTTCAAAGGATTGGCCACCCACTTCTGAAAAAACAGGCCTTCGAAAACCCTATGTACGAAAACCTACTTTTAGGTAGTAGCCCAAAATTCAATCCCCTTTGCCACAAGAGTCCCTCTCAAAAATGTCCATTGCCTTCAAGTCACAGTGGACTCATACTTGACTATCCATTGGGTTTTTAAAGGCTCACAATGGAGTAGTTTGCCTAGTTTTCTCCCTTGAACCCCATGCCTTTGGATTGGCAGTACAACTTCCTATCCACTAGGCCATTAGGAGCTCCAACCTTTGATAAAAGAAATTATAAATAAAAGAAATAACCCCATAAAAGATGAATGAACTAGAATCATGTGGACAGCATAACTCAATCTATTGCAATTTCCTGTTTATAAAGGATCTTCAGGATAAATTACATTGCAATTTAATATTAGAAAGTGTTGTATTCATCCCATGCATGGTTTTTTTTATGCTTTTATTTTTTTAACCTTAATGATACCTAATTGGGTAAATCCACTTGCCATCTACTAGGTTCAAACTCATGATGACTCTACATCCTTCAGAGAAGAACTGAGCATTGCCGAGCCTTCATGGCTATGTCTTGAAGTAGGCTGATCAGAACATCCGTGAACAGTGATTCTAGGTAGATGTCAACTACAAAACTTTCTGTCGGCCATACTGTGTGCTAATATTTGTGCCACCTATTGAGTATCTAGTCAATATTTTTCACTGCTAAAAAGTTCTCAGAACGAAATTAGTGACATAACCAAACCAAGTGTAGCTTGGATTCAAATAAACTCATCAAACACACAACCAGCAATCATATGTAAAAATTTACTTTATAATAAAATTAAATTTTTTAAAAATTAAATTTTTAAAAATTAAATTTATGGTATTTAGTTGTTGTTGCTGTTGTTAGGTGCTGTAGATTCAAATATGACTCATAACAAGTCTATGAACAAAGATTTGAACATTGTTCTATCCTGTGCGATCCTCACAACTCCTGACACACAAGAGTTCATTGCAGCAGTCACCGCGTCAATCCAGCTGGTTGAGGGTCTTCCTCTCCTTGGCTGACACTCCACTTTTCCCAGCATCATGTCCTTCTCCAAGGAATAGCACTTCAGAAGGAGCTGTATATTTGGTTTCATTTTATGTTCTACCTTCTTGC